TCTTCTGGGTAAGGATTTTTTAATACTTACGAAATTCCAAGTTGTGAAATAAGCCGGAGCATAGTTAGCTATTATTAATATTTTTGGCTCAGTCACGTCTTTAAAATCCAATTGAGTACAACTATACCATGCAACATATAAATGATGTACAACTGCCACAGAATGAAATAAAAATTGTTTACTCAGTTCTATCGGCTTCTGTTCTCCTAAAACCTGAAAATTAAATTTTATAATAGAAGAAATATGCAAAGAAATTCGACGTAAAATACGAGAGAGGCACTGTTTGGAATGAACGTACTTGCTCAAAGATGTGATATATCTGTAGACATATACTGTTGTTTTATTGACTTCCAAAAGGCATTTGATCGTGTTAAGCACTCTATATTGATCGAATCTCTAAAAGACATTGGCTTGGACGGCAGAGATGTTCGAATAATTGCAAATTTATATTGGAATCAAACAACATCAGTTTTAGTAGATGGTGTGGAATCACAGGCTCTCAATATTAAAAGAGGAGTACGCAGGGATGCCTCTTGTCACCCCTGCTTTTTAACGTTTACTCCGAAAGAATTTTCAGAAAAGCACTTTCTGAAAAACAAGAAAGAATACTTTCAGTTCCGTAAATCATAACTGGTCTTATGGCAGCTTTATAGAATTTTCCCTTTAGTTTCATTGGAGACTTTCTGTCACCTAACACACCACTTGCTGCCTGTCGCCTTAGTCATCCCATTTATCGTAAAAAATAAAATTAAAAATATTTTGAAAATTAAAATTATTCTACCACTTTCCGTTATATTAGAAATGAATAAAAATAATAAGAATAAAACCCTTACAATAAAGGGATTACCTTAGAAATTATAACACCGAAAAACTTATTAGCTAAATTCAACATTTTTGAGAATACCTAATACTGAAAGAAAAATGATATATTCAACATTATAGTTCCTCTCTTTTTATTTTTAATTGTAGTATTACAAGTAAATAAGCAAAAAATTGATACCCAGTGAGTTCGTTTAATCTGATCAACAAATCTTATGTATTGTATAATAGTTTTAGAATGATTTATACGGAATGTGATGACCTTTATCTTAAATTTGAACCTATCCTGAATTTAAATAGTAAAGTTACTTTTCACTACTTAGTTATTAGTTGAACAACGCAGATCCAAATTGTATTTGGTTTTCGGTTTCGTGATATACTTGTTATTGGTGCTCTAATAAATTGAATCGGTTTTTGAATTTTAACACTGTTGTCTACTTTTTACTACTACTAATTCAAACTTTTATTATTGTTTGATACTTCCTTCATCCATTCATTCGTTGGTTTATTTCTTTAAAGTTGTTCAAAATTCAGTCACATAGCTAGTATGCAGCAGTCTACAATAGAATTTGTTTTTCAGTATCTCAGTTTTTCAGTATTTCAGTGTCCTCAATGAAGGAAAAATGAAATTGCAATGTGGTTAACTTCTAAGAATTTAATCTTTGACGATACGACAAAAGCAGAATTATTAGAGCTTGCTAAAATTAATAAACAAAACTATAATAAATATGTATATTCAGGAGATACCCCAAAAACGGGGATTGAAATACTTCGCCTACCACCGTATCATTGCGAGGTAAATCCGGTTGAAATAGTATATGCCGAAGTTAAAGGTAACGTTGCTCGAAATAATACAACTTTTAAATTTTTAGATGTTACTAATCTTTTTCATAAATCAATATCCGAAGTAACTACTAAACAATGGCAAAAATGTATGAATCACATTATGGATATTCCGTATTTATATCCGTTATTATATCCGTCATCCTGGATAGGATAACACTTCGTCAGAAACAGAATAATCATGAGGAAGCTTAACTTTAAACTGTAGTTTAAAAGTTTATTTTACATTTGAACTAATTACCGTCAACTTCAGTGTTTATTTTTTATTTATTTATTTTTGTATTCTTAATATAATTTTCATTCTTATTTCCAATATTATTAGTATTAAGAATATTATTAATTATTAATAGGAATGTATAAAAACAATTTTTGTGTATGTATTTTACTTTATTTTATTATTTTATATTAACTGCATGTTTCACAATTAATACAATTTTTATTCTTTTTATGTGTATCTTTTTACTTTAAACCAGTATTGGATTGGATTAATTTCTTTGTTCGAAATATCCAAATAAATTTAACGCAAAGTTTTTTTTAAGATTACGTTTTAGTTAGAAGATTGTATTGAAGCTATATATTTCGAGGTTTGAAGATTAGTATTCTGAGAATTTACTCCAGCTTATTTTTCAAATATACTATAGTAGTCACTAGCGAGCCAAGATATGTGAAGCTGTCAACACGTTCACAGATATGCTATAGAATCTTTAGAAACCAACAAGTACTTGAATTATTTTCGTTGGTGACTAGACCAACCTGTTACAGATTCTAAAGGTCAGAAGATGGAGGGAAGTTGCCAGGAATCGACAGAAGTGGCGACTTCTTTGTGGGCAGGCCAAGATTGTCTAGCCACTTATGACGATGGTATAAGTATATTTGCAGAGATTGCTGCATTTTGCACTACTTTATGGCATTGTTTCTTAGATGTGAGAAATTGTACTATTCCTAAAAGCAATAGAATACGAATATCAAGGAAGACATGGTTGGAAACAATTAAATGAGACATGTTTTTAAAGTAGATTAATATTGGTATTATTCAAGATAAAAACTTCGCATAGAGCGATCTTGCATAGACGTAAAAGCAAGAAGAATTATAGTAACATTTCCAAAAGGTTCCCCCATTGAAGAGGAATCAATTCGTAATTCATATTGCATTGTCGTGATATAAATTTCAATGCCTATAAAGCTGAATAATCACTTTAATTATTATATTTTCAGTTTAATTTAGACACCAGGTATTTAAATAAAACCATTCCGTTTTTAATTAATTAACAAATAATCGTCCCCAGTTTAATTACGTCAACAATCATTAACATAAAAAGTAACTATATGATTTTAGAATGTGGGAAACTATTTACTTTTAGAAAAACATTTTTATAGTTGCATTGATTAACTAGATCGCACTGCTATATGACACAACTTATAAGTTACAAAAAAGGGCAAGGAATTAAGAACTCAAGGAATTGATATGGTATAAAAGATATAGTTAAAAACAAACTGGGTAGGAAATGGTGGTTTAAAAAATCGACCCCATGTGCCAACGTGGACACTGATAATTTCCTGGTCAGAATAGAAATGAGGGATGTATTTAAAGAAAAGGGAGTTTCCATAGATTTAACTACAGATCCAGTAGATCCAGATACAGTAGGTGTGGTTTTCAGCGCAGTAGTAGGCATAATACTTTATATTACGGGTAAACGATGTCACGTAAAACTAATATAGCAGATTTATCTTTTTTAGTTCAAATCTATGATCAAAAATAGAATATTACTTTATGAGGCGGAGAAGCATGACTTTTCTCGCTTCTTTGTCGAATAAAGTATACTATTTTTTCTTCAAACGTAGCAATTTTCAACCATAAATAGTACCAATTCATACGCTATTTTTACTCGAAATTAACTGTGGCAACTATCAAATCGTGGGATTTGAGTCTCCATGGTTACAGTTGTTTGACATTTGCAATTATTAAAGACAGCTTATTGTTTTTGCAACCGCAAGCGCAAATTTAGTGCGAAAATGGAAAACCTAAACGAAATTGAGTCCGCGGCTAATGATGCAGTAGCACGTTTGGGGCCCTCCAAGTCCGGAATAAAAGAGGAGTACGGCAAGTTACCCGAAGACGTTTTATTGGCATATTTTAATATAATGGAAAATGAAAAGAAATGGAAAATCTTCTACAATGTGGTCACGATACTCTATGATAAATCCGAGTTAGTTATTAGAAAAAATGTGGATATAAGCAAATTTTTAAAGTTACGTGCCTTTCTGAAAAAAACAAGCGAAGGATATACTGCAAAGAAGTCTAAAGTTTTCACTAAAGACGAGTTTGATAAATTTTTGTTTGAAGCGCCAGATAAGTTGTATTTAGGATTAAAGGTAAAAAAAATTATATTGCAAAGCATGTAGTATACTCTACTAAATTGTAAAAATGAAGACTGTGGACATTGAGGATAAAGAAAATGTAATAATTATCAAAATCTCAGACAGTAAAACACGACAAATTAGATCTTTTACGATAATTGGTCAAAACTACATTAAACTGTATAAAAAAGTATGCATCACTGCGGCCTGAAAATTTCACAGAAAACCGATTTTTTATCAAGTACCAAAATGGAAAGTGTAACCGAAACGTCATGGGAATACATTCGATCAGCGCAGTAGCCCAAAAAGTAGCTAGTTATTTAAATTTTAAACGATGCAAGCGCATACACGGGTCACTCTTTACGACGAACTTTAGCAACACTTTTAATTGATGGAGGCGGAAATCTAGAATGCCTCAAACGACATGGGGGCTGGAAATCAAGCACGGTTGCCGAAGGATATATAGAGGATTCAATAAGAAATAAGAACGATAATGCTTAAAAAATTTTAAACCCTCATGATTCGCCAACATCGAGAATGATTGCTGAAAGTTGTTCTCGACCATCAGTATCATCAACAATTACCAATGCGCATCAAGAGTCGGGAACATTTTTGCACGGTTTCAATTTTGAAAATGCCTCATTAATTGTACTTTTAAATATTACTATAAATAAAAATGATGTTTAATTTTTGTTAATGACATTTGTATTGTTGCTTTGTGACATGTTTCATATTGTTTGCCATGACAACATTTTTCCCTCCGCCGTAAAGAAATGGGAAAAAAACTGCTGCCGCGGAGACATCAAACTTTGACAGGATCAAGTTAGATAAGTAATGTCATCATTATTTGACATTTGAAGAAAAAATACCTTTTTTTAGTAATATACTATTTTACAGGACTTCTCTTACACACGACTTACACACAGTAATAAAAATTTTTATTTCAAAATAGTTTATTTGTCATATATTATTAGTATATAAAAAGTGATACATTTATTAAAAATTATACTACATGTGTATCTTAATTATCATAATTTATATTGATTATGGATTATTTCTACTCTTTTTTGCTTTTTATATAATGTAAAAGGTCGTCGGCGGTTACTACTCCTAATGCTTTATTAACTCCGTCTAAAAAAAAGAGATTAGTGAGCAGCGGAATAAAAAAAATACAAACATTAAACATTTGAACACGAATGTTTTTGTTTTTGCCCGGTTTAATTGTACTTCATGCAAAAAATGAGCTGAATACGCAATAGACCATTTAATCTATTTAAAAGAAGTCTGAATCAGTTGCCTCTTTGTTAAGGATAGCTTTAGGTACTAGGTATAAAGATCATGCCTAATACCTCAAAGGGCCTTCCGTTTACTTAACGGGTCGTCTCATAATATTCCAGGTTTTTTCCCGTCACTACATAAAATAAGGAAAGGTAAAATACCCACAGCAAATTATGACGAAGTTTATTATATTATTGAAAGCCCGTTTGTGTTCTGCTATACGTTTGTTAAAGGTTCTACTCGTTTGACCGATGTAAGTTTCTGGACAGTTGAACATGTAAGTTTGTATACACCACTGTGTAAGTGCTTTATCTATTGCCTCTTGTTCTTAATAAATTTTATTAGTTACTCGGCCGAAACAGCTGTAGTTATATTAAATTATAATAAAATTTGTAGTAGTGTTGAAAACAAAACTTTTCAGTGGTTTATTCGTTAGCAATGTTACCAAATTCGACTGGTATTTTTACAAATTTGTAACTTTTGATTCCAAATTTGACACACCATGTATTTTTGTCTCAAACAAAGGTACTTGAAACCAAGTTGCATAACTAATATATCGAGAATTCCCTTCTTCTTTTGTTGCCTATCCTCTGTGAATGTTGGCACTCACGTTGGTCCATACAACTTTGTTGACAGCTGCTCTAAATAGATGTATGGTAGTCATTCCTGCCCACTGTCTGATGTTCTTCAACTACGATGTTCTTCTACGCCCTTGAGATCTTTTGCCTTCTATCTTGCCTTCAGCAGTTTCATAGATTTTGTTCAGTAGACTTGTTAGGAGGTTGAGCTGGTTGTTTTTAAATAGTTTCAATATTTTAGCTTGAATGTTATCAGGTGCAGGTGCTTTGTTGGTTTTTAGTCTTTTATTGCATATGTTACTTCACTGACGTTATTTCTGGTACTAAATATCTGGAAACACTTGCTCTTGCTCTTCCTTGAATAATTCTTCCATGTACTGCCCCCGACAACAGAATTCTCTATTGATCCCAAATTCAATAGAACCGTTTATTGAAGCAAGAGAAACCTATTTACTAGGTGTAAAGGTTCTACTATATTAAATTGAGTCTAAATCTACCTCACTCTTATTCACTCTTTCTCATTAATTTAACGAAAGATATCTCTTCAATACCGTGAAAACTTGTTGTAGTGGAGAGAGAGGCTATTCTTGCTCGACCTTGGTCTCTAGTTTTGTAAGATGAGCACCGCAGACTAGAGGCCAAGGAGTGCTCAACTGTGGGTACCAGGCAACACTCAGGATTCATTAATGTGAATGGTTCTGCCCGAACTGACCATCCATTTCATATTTTCTCCTGACAAAAGAATGGGCCAGGATAAACAAACACAAAACCATGAAGAAGTTTAATAAGGACGGAAGAATCGTAAAGGCCAACCAGCAAATTTGAATATCTTATAATAAAGACCCATATTTTATAAGTTTATGTGCTGGACGTGAAATTATGATTGACAGGGATAATCAGTCCCATAAACTGAAGAGAAGAGTCGGTCTTAGCTGGGCACCATATGGAAAACTGAGAGAAACTTTTAAAAGTGAACTGCTCACATGCCTGAAGAGAAAAGTATTTGATCAATGTATCCCCCCAGTATTAAAATATGGAGCAAAAACACTTACTTTATCAAATGGCTCGGCTTATCAAACTGAGAGTCACACAGAGAAGGGCAGAACACATAGCTAGAATGACGGATGGGCGATGGACAAAGAGGTTATTGGAATGAAGACCCAGGGGAGGCAAGAAAAGCGTTGGTTAACTATCTACACGATTTGCTGACGATTAGGGAAGACAAAATAAAAGTTGGATGAGAGTGGTGCAAGATAATCGGTGTTGGAAACACGAGGAAGAGTTCAATGTTCCACAGTGGATTTTCGAGGCTGGATATTGATGAAATTCCATATATGAACAATTCATCTTTTTCTTTTCTTTGCTGCTATTTTGAAAATTACTGAAAGTAAACTTTCATAATCTGTGGCAAAATATAAAGAGATACCTGGTGAAAAATTCAATACTTACTGTCTGTTTCCAGAATCACGACATAAGGTTCAATTTCTAAAACTCTGGATACAAGTCCAAGAGAACTTGTTTTGGGTAATTTAGAAAACATTCTATCTAAGCAATTATTAATTTCGTCTTTCGGTGAATCTTCTGCTATAAGGCGGTTAGTGATTTTCCTTCGTGTAGCTAATCCAACAATGATTCTAAAATGCAAAAAAGAATATTAAAGTACGTTGAGATTCTTTTTATAAGTGAGTATATTTTATGAAAGTTATGAGTGAATCTACAAGTTTTACTGTACGTAGAATCCTCGATTGTTTTTATTTAATATATTGGAAAAGACAAATCTTCACTTGGTGTATAAACATAATTAGAGGAACTTATCCCAATCTAGCAATGAAAAGACTTATTGTGTATACCCTATATCTACATTCAGTTTAAACAGATCTTGGCTTCTAAGAAAGTCTATTAGTCTAATTGCTAGCAGTTCTGCTTAAAATATTGTAGGAGTATCTCCGAGGTCCATTGACTGCTGTTCCGACTTACATGCCGGTACAAGAATAATTAGTTAAAATTTTGGTTAGTTACTAATTTATTACAATTCAATAGATTATCTTATACCAGTTATTCCTTTGTCTGCTTAATCAGTTTTTATTCATATTAATAAACACAGACATGTAATATTGGCATAATTACTGTAATTTTTATCATTATCTTTATAAGACAGCACCCTAATACAGGCTTTTTATAATTTCAGTATTTAATTTATTTGGTACCGTTTGACCCGAAGATGCTTTGCTAAATGTAGAAAGCGAAACCGGTCGTTTTGGTAATCAAACTAAATTGATTGTGAGTAAGTCTTATTTTATTTCTTTTAACCTATTTGAAATGGACTCACACAGGCAACACATTCATGATTTGAAATACCTATCACTTAAGACCATCTAATAATATGCCCAAACATCATATTAACCTAGCAGATGATTTTGATCACAATCAGAATGGCAGACCTTCAATATCAACAGCCTGTGAGAGTGAAATACTGAATCAGTTTCCTACCAGAAGTAAAAGATTAATTCAACCCCCATCTAGATATAATGATTTTGAGATGTACTACTTTTGCAATCAGTATTGTTATTAGTTTTTATTTTAGAATGTTTTATTCTTAATTCGTTGTAATTTCTATGCTTTATTGGAAGGAAAAGATGTCATGAGAATAGCTCATGAATGTAAAGTCCTGATAGGACTATGACACGGGACAGGCGGCACAAGGTCTTATGGCATACATAGAGGTTAGGCAGGCACTTTAGATTAGGTTATGCGGATACTGTATTAGTGAAAGCAATAATAATAAAGATGTACAACAGTCCGTATCAAACATTATTACCCATTGTCCACAACTGGCAAATAGTCAACATCCAGCTCGTTTAAAAGCATCTAAGACTTGGGCCGGATGGGTCGATTTTGCAATATTTCGGCAGGGTTTGAACGACAACTCCGTAACATTAATATCCCACCACCTAAAACAAATAGTTTTATATAGTATCGCATAAATGTATTAAGTCAATTATTAAAAAACAAAAATGAAAAATACAAATTTATGAAATAAGGAATTTCAAAGACAAATTGAACATTTTAGTATCTGGTATTAGCACCACTGGCTTTAATGACGTGCCTTATTATCTGTGGAAGACTTCTTATCAGAGACTGTATGTAGTCCCGAACATGCTCAATTGGGTTTAGGTCTGGACTGACTGCTGGCCAATTGAGAACTTGAATACCAACTTCTTGAATATATTGCATTTTTATTGTAGCAACGTGTGGGCGAGCGTTTGTATTACATAAAACGAAATCATCTGCAATAAATGGAACAACAGGCACCGCATTTTCTTTAAGAACCTCTCTTCTTAAGAACTTCTTATATACCATTTAGTTGCATAGGTGTGGCCACAGCGGGTTCCGCGGATGTCGTGGAGTAGCTATATCTAATACGGGCCACCACCGTTGGTATTTTAAAATTGAACGCCGGGATACAAAATTTTGCTCAAGGAAAATATTGAGGGCGATAGATTGAGAAGTTTTGATAAACGCCTAACAGTTAAAAAACGTCTAGACATTTACCAGAGGACGTTTATTTATTTTTTAATGTGAATAATATGTATTCATATTAAAAACAAACTAATCAAAAGTAATTATACTACATACAAGGTTCCATTTGTTTTTGTTTCAGCTTTTTAATCGGTTTTTATTTTTTTATAATTAATTTTTTAATAGATTTTATCCTCTGATTACTAACAAAGCATTCCACTAAGTAAATCGCTCACCGGCGCGTCTGAAAACTGGAATACGTCAGTTGGATCCATAAAGTGCAAGCTTGACTCATCGGTAAAAGAATATTAGCCACGTCGGTAATATCCCAATCGACATGTTCTCGTGCGAACCTTAAAGGGTGCCCTCGTTATTAGCAGAGCAGTAGCAGGCATTCTGACTCTGATTGAAATTCTCTTAATCTGTTTCTAATCGAATTGACTTCGAACATTATGGACTGTGAAAAGATCACTTCGCAGTTGCCTAACTGTAACATGACGTGTACGCAAAGTCGAAAGACGTAAATTACGGTCATCTGCAGAATGTGTGCACCTGGGATGTCCTGGAACTGGTCTTTTTGTGTAACCTCCAGTTTCTCTATACCTTCTTAAAGCTCTTTAAACACCGGATTATCATAACATCAGCAACATATTGCTGCAATAGACCATCTCCAATTAAGGCTATGATTTGAGTTGCTGGTTCTGACTAATTATTAATTTTTTTGTACGAATGCACCTTCTCATTGAAAGATCGAGCAGAAATAGTGCATAGATCATAATTATCTAACACAAATTTCCAAATCAAAATAACTATTATCTTTTATATGTATGTATGTTTATGTATATTTCTCTTGGTTTTACTTGTTTTTAAATAGAGTTTTATAATATTGCCTACTCGCTTATTATTTTTCTATGGTAATATATATACCCAATGTGAAAGGGAGAAACCAGCGAGTTCTAGATTGAACATACATATATAATCATCTCCCTTTCTGATGTCTTTATATGTTATATAAAGATTATCGTATGTGCAGAACGCAACAATGCGGAAATCGTTTTCGAAAAATATTAGTACAAAAATAAAGAGTAGTTTAACCAGGTTAAACTCAAAACAATAAGTCGAAAAGAACAAATTACTTAATCCTCCAAGAGCTTCAACAAGCTTAAAAGCTTTACGTATGTTTTTGGAGCCTCTCTTCATGTCTCCTGATGTCTTTTCTTCTTCTTCTTCTTCTTCGTCTAGCCATTCACGTCCACATCTGAACATAAGCCTCTTCAAGTCTTCCTTTCCATTGTTTTCTATTGTACGCTACTTGTAGCCAATTTTTCCCGGCAGTCCTTTTCAGATCATCTGTCCATCTCATAGGAGGTCTGCCTCTGGGTCTTTTGTGTTGGTATGGTCTCCAGGTTAAAATTGATCTGTGCCATTTGTTTAGATCGCTCCTAGCTACATGTCCAGCGTATTACCATTTCAACTTTAATGATTTTTGCACCACATCGGTGACTTTGGTTTTCTGTCTTATCCATGTGTTTGTTTTCTTGTCCTTAAGTGATATACCTAGCATTGCTCTTTCCATCGCGTGTTGAGTGACTCTAAGTATATTCATATTCTTTTTTGTGATTGTCCATGTTTGTGCCGCATAAGTTAATATCGGAATAATGCATGCATCAAAAACTTTAGATCTAAGATGTAATTGAATTTGTTGATTTCTGAGTATATAGTTCAGTTTACCGAATGCGGCCCAAGCTAACTTTCTTCTTCTTTTTATTTCTTCAGTCTGAATTTCCCTATTTAGAATTATTTTTTGTCCCAAGTATATATATTCTACAACTTTTTCTATAACTTTATCGTTTATTATTGTCACGGTGTCTTCGGAGTGCATGACTTCTGTTTTGTTTAAATTCATTTTCAGTCCTATTTTAGAAGATTCGGTATGTAGTTCTACAAGCATGGTTTGCATTTCTTGTAGGTCAGTAGCTATCAGGATTATGTCATCTGCAAATCGTAGATTACTGAGGTAGCGGCCATTGATGTTTATTCCCTTATATTTCCAATTTAGGTTTTTAAAAACGTCCTCCAAAACTAAGGTTAACAGTTTGGGTGATAAAGTATCTCCCTGTTTGACTCCCCTGTTTAATGGTACAGGGTTCGTGTGTTCATTTTCATTTAGGTAGTATGTAGCTGTAGCTTGGTTCATAGTTTCTTTTATTAAGTTAATATATCTGCTGTCTATTCTACAATTTTGCATTGCGTTTATTACGGCCGTGTGTTCTATGGTATCGAAAGCTTTTTCGTAGTCTACAAATGCTAGGAAAACTGGAAACTTGTATTCGTTACATTTTTATTAATATTTTTGTGGTTAACAGGTGATCGGAAGTTGAATAGCCTTTTCTAAGACCTGCCTGTTCATATGGTTGGTATTCGTCTAATTTCCTTGTTAGTCGAGTAGTTATGACTTTGGTGAGTATTTTAAACAGGTGTGACAGTAGGCTGATGGGTCTGTAGTTTTCCAATTTTCGACTATCACCTTTCTTGTGTAATGAGATTACTTTAGAGTTGTTCCAGCTCTTAGGGACTTTGCCCTGATGTAAACAACTGTGCACAAGCTTAGTTATAAATGCAATTAGTTCCTTACCTCCTTCTAATATCATATCTGTGGTAATACTATCTTCTCCTGCAGCTTTATTTCTCTTCATGTTTTCCAATGCTGTAGTTACCTCTGAAATTGTTACTTTTGGCATTATTTCTGATCCAACATTTTTTATTAATTTCCGTGCTGGTCTCATCTCATCATCTTGTTGATGTGATCTGTAAAGTTCTGTGTAAAATTCTTCTATTCGTGTCAGTATGTTTTCTCTACTTGTGATTTCATTTTCGTCTTTTCCTATTAATGATATCATCTGACGTCGTCCTAGTGTGGGTCTGAGGCATTTCATACTCTTATTTTTTTCAATAGTAGTTGTTGTTATTAATTTTTCATTTTTTTTTCTTTTTTGTTGTCTGATTCCTTTTCTAATCTGCCTATTAAGTTCTCTATATTCGTCGGTTCCCCGTTTGTTAGATTTATTTAAGATCTTCCTTCTTTCTATTTGTTGTAATATTTCTTTGTCTAATTCATTGTATGTTGTTTTTGGTTTTTTCAGTTGCAGAAGGCTTTTATTCACTGTTTCGGTAATAAGGTTATTCAAATCATCAATATCATTGGAGTTTATCTGCTGCATGCTAACTTGATTTAATGCATGCACTATCTTTTTATTAAATTCACTATTTTTGATTTCTTCAGATGTCCATTTGTATCTTTTTTCATGTATTCTTTTTCTTTCTTAGTTTTTTTGTTAATTATTAGTTTTGTTCTTATTAGTCTATGATCGCTTCCTAGGTCAAACTGATTTAATACTGATACGTATTCTAATAAGTTTCTATTCTTCGTCTGATTCTGTTCTGATGTCTTTTATTTGGGAAATATTCTTATGTATTCTGATGTCTTTTATTTGGGAAATATTCTGCTTGTGGGTACCTATGTAAATCTTTGTTCCAAACATCAAAAAGTACCTACATTTTTTAGCGTTAGATTCTGAAGCGTTTCAAGGTATCTACAATTACTTTTTTTGTTATAGCCTTATAACCGAAGGTCTTAAATTTACAACTGTTTCAAAATTTCTGTGTAAATCAGTACGTTTTTGCTTTATATTAAAATCGACTGGTCTTTGATTATTCCATCGTTGCTTCTAGTGATAAAACTGCTGTGTCAGTAAATTGTAACTTACATGCATCAGTTTCTCGCTACTATACACTTGGATTTTATCCCTTGGATGGATATTAAATAAAATTAAATAAAGAAAAAAAAAATGAAAAAGACAGCAAATATTTGATTTCACGCAAAACAACTCCTATGTATCTGTTGATACGTATTTCGACCTAATAGGTCTCATCAGAACAGTTATTCATAGGTGTTCTTAACGTGAAAAATCAATATTTTTCTGTCTTTTAAGAAGCAACACTAAAATGGCTTCAATACGGACGCGATAGCGACATCTAAATAATAAAATCCGTAAAATAGTTTCGAAACACAATTCAGATTTCTGCTTATAATCTGAGCCTTCTAAAAATTGCAAGGCAAACAGCCGTTGATAAAAGATGTTAAAAGGGACATGGAGAATCTAAAATTTGCATTCCACGACATGTCTTTTACAACTAAGCAGAAATCCTTAGCGAATTGTGTTTCTCGTACTTACACAGAGCATATCCGCATAAAAGAAAAAAGACAGCAAATATTTGATTTCACGCAAACAACTCCTATGTATCTGTTGATACGTATTTCGACCTAATAGGTCTCATCAGAACAGTTACTCATAGGTGTTCTTAACGTGAAAAAATCAATATTTTTCTGTCTTTTAAGAAGCAACACTAAAATGGCTTCAATACGGACGCAATAGCGACATCTAATAATAAAATCCGTAAAATAGTTTCGAAACACAATTCAGATTTCTGCGTATAATCTGAGCCTTCTAAAAATTGCAAGGCAAACAGACGTTGATAAAAGATGTTAAAAGGGACATGGGGAATCTAAAATTTGCATTCCACGACATGTCTTTTACAACTAAGCAGAAATCCTTAGCGAATTGTGTTTCTCGTACTCACACAGAGCATATCCGAATAAGAAAAGTTTAGTATTACTGACATATTTTCTTACCAATGATTGCGAGTGTTAACACAAGGCAACAGATTTCTTTGTTCCATCCACTGATCACAAACAAATTTGGTTAGGTAATTTTTGGTACCATCACATAGTAAAATCACTACCCTCTTTCCTTTTCCAAGTTTATAATCTTTAATCGCTTTAATAGCAGCTACGAGTAGCAATCCACTGCTAGAGCCTAAAACAAATCAAAAAGGTTCATTAAAAAAATCAATAGATAGATTAAATAATTAGTTTGGTAAGATTGTATTCTGTAATCAGTAAACTCATGGCTATCATCATCATCATCATCAACCTGTACTGTACGCGTCCACTGCTCGACATAGGTCTCTCTTAGCTCTTTCCATCTGTCTCTGTATTGTGAAGCTTGCACCTAGTTACGCTAATAAGCTTGAGGTCGTCACTCAACAACACGTTTTGCCCATCGGCGTGTTCTGCCCAATTCGATTTAAATGACTTGATTTTTTTGATAGTGTGTTGTTTTTTTTCTAGGACGTATTTCTTCGATTAGGATTGGGTCTCTTAGAGAGACATCCAACATCTGGTGGTCCAGATAAAACAGTTTTTCATTCACTTTATCGGACCATATAATGGGTAACCTTTATTTTTTATTTAATGAAAAAAAATTATTTTTTATAAAAAGTTCTGAATGATCTATAATTAATATTTGATAATTGTATTTATAAAAAAAAAACCGTTCTCTCACCGCTCTGGAACTCGCTTCAGCCATGTGTTACCTCTAGCCAAATTTAATTTAATACTGAACATCACAGTTATTTTACAACATAATGTATAATCTTTTATAACTAAATGTAATTTTAAAGGGTTTTTACCCTAGTATTTTGGTGGCTCAGGCAATTGTGACCTAGCATTTTTTCGATTTTAAACCTGATGATGGACTGTGTGGTCGAAAACGTTTGTTTTATTGATGTAGCCCTTTTTAGGGTTTTTTAAATAAATATACCCATTTACGAAGACTAACCTCTTTTTTGTGATACGTGGTATATACAGCCAGCTACAGGAATTTTTTCCTTGTGGATTTTATTTAATTGTATTTTAGGTTTTAGAATATCCAGAACTTTTTATAAAGAATATCTTTTTCATAAAACTAAAAATAAAAAAGTTTTTCATATGGTGCCGACTTGGACATTGGATTGGACACCGCTGGAGACTACACCGAAAAAACTATTATATAAATCTATTGATATCGATTCAAACGCTGAAGGCACACACAAGGAAGATAGTTCATAGCTCAAATCACCCAGAGTATCGCAAATCGCCTCATACACAGTGGCCCCAGCTGCTCATACAAGGATACACGTCTGTATTGTGGTATTGTATAATATTTTATATATTTTTCTTTATTATAATATAGACTATATACTAATATATGATTCTTCTGTTTACAGGTGACCTACAAAAAAAAATCACAAAAAACACAAAAAACGGCTTCGGCCACCAAAAAAAATCTAAAAAAATACTAACAAAAAACCGGCTCTCGCGCCACCAAAAAAATTAACAAAAACCCCAAAACCCGGGCACGTAGGGCCCAACCCTCCTTGAGCACCAAGTCGCCGAACTGAGCCGGGACTCAGAGCGGAACTTGAGGCCCAAGTAAGCAATTTTAGTTCGCGGATAAGCTACATTAAGATAAACAGTGAATAAAGCGGAGATGTCGCTGTCCTGAGTTTTCACATACGGTTAGGAAACCATGTTGGGGTTCTATTACCCAGGACCTCCACATGAAGAGCACTTGGCTGATTGTTGTGCCTCTATAGCGAATCAGATTGCTATAGGGGGGAAAGAGATGGTCTAGAGCATTGGAGCACGGTGGGGTGATTCCTGTTTTTAACTCGAGTTAAAACACCTTGCTCCCAATGAATTATTACACCCGATCGTACTACCTGGGTGAACATTTCTCATAGGCTGGGTTCAATCAAATTGCTTGCTTGCTTGAACGCTGAAGGACTAATTTGTGCCCCAAACGCCGTAATATATGGCTTTTATTTCATCAGATCAGTAGCAAGCTTTTGTTGAAAGCTACTATTATTTGTTTTTCAGTTTATATCGATCAAATGTATCACTTAAATTTTTATTCTTACCTACTAATAATCCTTCTTCCCTAATCAGTCTTCTACTCATAGTGTGAGTTTCATAGTCGTCCACTTTGTACCATTTTTCCGGCAATGATTGATCGCATACTGTAGGTACAATCATATGACCTACACCTTCGACTTCGAAAAATCCTACATCTGATTTGTTCAGCTCCGGCGGTGCCGCAAACTGTGAGCCATAGGGATCGGCCCCTATGATTATAGTTTTAGGCGAAAGTTCTTTAAACTTTCTGCCGATTCCTGTTAAAATTCCCCCGGTACCACATCCAATCACCTGCAAGTAGTAAAGTTGATTTTTTAAATACACAAACATATGAAGAGATGTCAATCAAAATCAATCATGTCCACCTTAAGAAGTTTTAGGGAAATCGCAAAAAACGTATTAGTAAATAACCTTACATGAAAAATCGGATAAATTTGCATATATCATTTTATTTATTGAAATTAACTGATTCTTAGTAAATATTTCAAATCTGAAGGTATAAATAAACCTGTAAATACAGTTTAAAAAAAGGACATGTTCTTATTTGATTGGACTTCATGGACGTTGATAGAAGGGGTTGAAATAAAAAACTCTTAGACTACTTAAAATATCTATTGTATTGTTACAAAAAATAATCTTGAAAAATGGCTAACATTTACCAACGACACTTTCCACAAAATATAAATGTTTAAATGTGTAGTCCAATGTCAGGTTCTAGACAATCACAGGATTCGTCCACTTCGTCAGCATCAATTTCGTCGTCCTGGACTTCCACTATTATGGTCTTATACCAAGATAAGAAAGTCATGTTTCTGCCAGTCATCACCATACATTTTCACAAGTAACGTCTCCACGTCCTTCTTCTTAGCTGCTTTCACTATATTGCTCAGTGGAAGTGACTCTACAGGAGTTGAGAACGACCTTGCAGAATGCCAGCCTTTTTTATGAGGCTTGTTGTAGGTTTCAAAATCACTTTCAAACCTAAAATTCTGTGCCGATTTCACTTTGATAACAGTAAGTTCTTGTCCATTGCGGTTGACAGCTTTCTCTTTCCTCACAAAAATCCTCTTCTTTTCAGATATCATTTCAATGTTTTTAAATCGTGTAGCCAAACTTTTAGCATCAATCAATCCCCAATCCTCTCCAAGTTTCCGTACTTCTCCAACAGAACTATATACATTGTAGTACTCTTCCTTTGTTGCAATGGTAGGCTGCTTCCTGAGTAACTTTTCAACCCTTCCGAACACCCGATCAGCGGGGAGGAAGCTATGCCCGCGAACAGGGTATGTTCGCGGGCATAGCTTATGTAATGTCCTCTAAAGCATTTTGCACTGATCCTAAGTAATACACTAATGTGTAAACAACGGCATTGCTTTTGTTTTGACCGGCACACCTATCACAGAACAGATTCAGTCTTGTTACATTTGAAAAATTAGCGGGGTTCAAGAAATTTATAAGTGCAGATGAAACTTCGGTCGCACCCCTTCCTGCAAGTTCTTCAGTCCATACGTAAAATATGGGGTTTTGTGCGTTTGATGCTACAATGCAAAAAGAATAAAAACTTAATTGTCTTTTGTAGAACGCGTCTTGTATAGGAGTTTTGGGAAGTATTTTATTGCATGTACTGCAAACGTCAGAAGCTGGTGATGAAAATCCGATATTTAATTCATTGAAAACTCTCCTAAACATAGATTTCTTAACTTTAAGATTATCAAGTACAGAATCATTGTATATTAGCCACAACTTCTTAATGTTTAAGTCTGCACCAAGATAAATCCTTTTCGATTTTTTTCGATTATAGTGGCTTTCTTTTCCTCTTAAATTTCTCAAAAAAAGGCGGACTGATTCCTTGTTCGCAGCAGATTTGTGACTCTTCCTATCGCCACCCCTCTGATCCTTAACAGCCTTTCCCTCTTTCCCCTTTTTAGAAATATTAGTCAATCTTGTTCCCTTCACCATGGTAATATGCATGAAAAGTTTCCTACACACAGGTATAACTTTACCGGTTGATGAAAGTATAGAATATTGTACACTAAAACTTTTAGCCTTTGATTTTTCAGAGGTAGGCCTAGGCCTTCGTCGCTTTATGTTACGTTGATTTATCCAACTGGCAATGGTGTTATCTTGCGTGTTTTTGTCAGGTATTTTGTAGAGGATATTTCGAACAAAAATAGCATCTATAGGCCTAACTAATGCACATTTCATACCTTTGTTCATGTGTTTACATGGAACAAACACACGACATCCCACTGGAGTACTGTATCGCTTAAGCTTGGCTCTAGTTTTTTTTATCCACAGTCTTTTTATTTTTACGAGATCCTTCATTGGCATCGCCCACTCTCACTAAGTTTTCTTCATCCATGGAAAATTTCAATTTTATTTAATAAAAACTACTATAATAATATTAAAATTAAACCACAGTGCAATACAAACTCAATACTCGCTATCGACATAACCTAGAGGGAAAACACAGACAATGTGTTGACATGGTCAAATCACGTGACCAAATCGGGGCACTCCTATTAGCTGAATGGACATGTGGTGGTATGATTGAAACCAACTGTGGACATGATTTCATTTGATTTGGGAACCTAATATTGTGTATTCATTTTAAACAGGACATGATTTTTTTTAACCGAAACCGAAAACACCATAGAATAGGATTCACTCTTTATGTTATGAAACAGCTGCTAACTCATTTTTTTATTTTTATGGACATGATTGATTTTGATTGACACCTCCTCATATTATTTACGTAAAAAATTATTAAATATACTTAAAAGGAAGGAAGATATCATAATAGTTAGGATACTTACTATCATATCCACTTTTCCGTCACATTGGTAGTAATATTTCTTCCGCTGTCGTGTCGTAGTGCGATAATGGATTAGAAGGATTGGAAAACTGAAAAAGTAAGTACATGTTAAGATAAAACAAAATAACAATAGATATTGTGATTCAATACAAAAATTTAGATCATTGTTTCTATGGTTCATCTATGTCATATCAATAGGACAACAATAACGAGGATCCACATAGAAATAGGGTAGGAATTTAAAATAAATAAATATGTTAGGGATGTGATTGACAGTGCCATTGAAATCAAAATTTCGGCATGTAATCCTTGTCTTTGTAAAGTTGGTACTGGCAATTTAGAAAGTGTAGCTGGTGTTTGTAGATTGTCTCAGCGAAATGAGAGAGGAGAAATGTTGCAATTAAATTATTCGCAGTATATTTAAAATGATTTAGGATTGTAACTTTTAAGCTCTAGATCTCCAAGGCCTGTTAAGTTACATAAATAAGACAATTTGAGTTGTTAATTGTTCAAATATATTAACACTGGGTTAAATTAAAAATTATTTTTAAAAATGTTTAATTATTCAAAAATGTGTTTTGTATAATTTTGAGGTCATTGGTAATAAACGTTTAATAATATTTAATACCTGTTAAACAGTTTAATGTTTATTAACAATATTATTTCCATAATCATTTAATCTTTTTTGTTGTTTATTAAAAAATCAAGCCATTAAAACATTAAAATATAATAATTATAATAGCCCACACTTGTGAATTCATCGTAAAATGGTTTATTATATTTATGTTAAAATTATTTTCGTTGCTCATTATATAATCACATGAAATTTGTTTTAAAGTGATTGTTATGGTAGCGTATGATTCTAAACTGATAAATGTATCTATCTATTATGATTAAAATGATTTCAGTCGTATTAATATACAAAACAATACTTAATAATTAAATGTAATTTCTAAGGAATTTTAAACAGATTTTGTAAATAATTTGTTGTATGCAAATAAATGCCGATAAAAATTTTGTGACAAGTGGTTGTAGGAATTCTACCGTTTTTGGGTTTTTCTGTAATAGCTTTTATGTCATATAATAATTATCTCCCTTAAATATTGCTTAATATGCATCATTGAAGAAGTCACTATCTCCCCTGAACCCAGAAGTAAAGAAGATTAACACTGATAATAATAGGTGACGCCAAACTGGGAAATAGTAGGATGAAAACAAGATGTAATGACACAGTATAAAGAGGTTCCATGGAATCTCTTTATACTGTGCCATTGTAAAGAGGTTCCATGGAATTTCTTATACTGTGCCATTGTATAAGAGGTTCCAGTAATGGTTCCATTATACTGTGGTAATGGTATTTACAATGAATAAACGAACGAACAGCAGATAACGACACCTTGAGCCGACGGGCAGTGACGTAGCCAGGGACATGTCCAGGGGATCCGGTCACCCTCCGAAATATTATCAACTATTGATGATATTAAAATTTAATAAACACGTAAAATGGATCATATATACTTCATTATATTGCTTTCATTTATTAATAGTATATGATTACAATATACACATATAACCCAAAAATACTCTACATAAAACATACAGTTAATCAACTTTATCTGCAACTTCATTTACTTTATTTACAATTTATTACTTACTTGGTCCATAATAATGGAATTAGGTATTTTTTTATGAAGGGCAAGGGCTTTTCCATAAGCGCCATCTTCGCTATCCATGGGTGCTGTCATTGCGACTCTAATGGTTTCTGCCCCAAACGCTTTCATTAGATATTCCTTTTCGAGTGAGTATTTGTCTGGCATGATTATAATACATTTGTAACCTAAAATTAACAAAAAATATTTTTATTTAATAGTATTCCTTACTCTTTTGTCCTCCACACTAATTAGCTGTACATACGTACTTAGATCTATTTATCAGTTAGCAATATCGTTGCGAGACATCTACCGCAAAATGGATAGATGACTGAACAAGTGTTTTTTCTATGGTTCAGAAATGTGTTTTTGAAAAAGTGCGTTGTTTTTCTGATTTACGATTGTCATTTATCGCACATTTCATCTTAACTAATTGCGACGTTAGCTATGGCAGAATATGTGACTATTCTTAAATTACCCCCCATAGTTCTGCAATATTGCAGCATTTGGATGTGTCTGTCTTCTAGAGATTCAAATTTTCATGGGATGCTTTGTTAACAGATTGGCAGCGCAAAAATTTAGGAAAACAACTAACAAAATGCGAATTTTCCAACCTTTTGGGAAATCTGGGCGGAGTATTCGAGAACCTGTTGTGGTAAATGGCTTTAGAAAGACGGTATTTTTTCTCTAAATCGAGATTCCATTTGCAAAGAAAAGTTGAATCTTGAAAAGTTAAAACAATATTATGAAGAGAAAAATATTCCTGACTCTATCACTGACGAGCACAGTTCTATGGGTAAGCAAACTCCGATCCCATATACAACCTCTTGCAACTCTACTATAGAAAGCCATTGCATCAACTTCCATTGTAGGAAGAGGAAAATGGAGAACAATGGAAGGGGAAAAGAATAGATGTTGCTGAGGTGATCACAACTAAAACCTATTTAGAACACCTACAGTTATCGAAAACAAACACCTAAAAAGTTACCTGGATTTTCCACTGATCACACATTAAGTTTGTGAAAACCATTACTGGGGTTCTCTGGACATCGAACGCACGAACAAAATTACCTCCACTGTGAATTGGATAGCCCATTTGGGGCCAAAGCCGGCACTGAACAAAACTTATGGCTCTGCCTCTTACAAAAAACAGGACAGGTAGAATTGGACTACAATTAAACCTTAAATTGCCACTATTAACTGCTACTTAAATTATTTTCCATAACGAAGAACAAAAGGACATTACAAATTCTTCATGAAACGAGACGAAAATAGAAAACTTTACGAATTCGACGAAAAATTTGGAAAAATACACAAAACACAACGAAAATTAAGACGAAAATTATTAATTTGAAAACGCAGTACATCTGCCGGCTCAAATCAAAGAAATATCGAAGAAAAATACGCAGCTGCGAAATAAATAAACAACTCTAAGATGGTTTTTATTACTTGGCGACGCTAAGAGGAATTGAAAGAATTCGGTGTTTTACCACGTACAAATACGAAACTGAAATACATTAAAAAAAATGAGATTTTCAAACATTTATGAGGGAATTCAATATATTACATATACGAGGGGATTTCAATATATACCAAAGAATCAATGAAATTGCAAATGCTACAATATGAAGCTCCAAATGACAATATGGAAGAAGGTGCGAAACCTCAAGTTCAAGAACCCACTGAAGATAATATAATACCAACAAAATACATCGTGGTACGAATAAACAAACGAGCAGTTACTCATTCGATTGGACTAATATTGCAAATTAATATAGTCAAAAGAGTCGTGATAATCAAATATTTGAAACAATGCATAGGAAATACCTTCAAATTTCGTGAGAAATTGAAATTTGAAAAACGAGCCTCTCTTGTTCGCTTATGATAAGATATTAGGAATACTCGAAGAATCAAAATTAGGAGATGAAAACATCGTTACGTTTTGTGAGGATTTAAGGTTATTCAAAACTATTTCCTAAGTGTTTGCTGTCTCATGATTTTTAATAAAAATTTTCATTTCTGCATTTTTAATGTTTCTTTTATTACAGTTACACCCTTTCAATATAATAACTACAAAGTTAAGTTTACCAAGCTGTGGACCCTGACAGTCTCCCTGTCAGGGTCCACAGTTACCCTAAATTAACGGTTAACTGTGGACCCTTACATGTGAAAGAAGAGTTTTAATACTCTTTTCTAATTTTTCAATTTCTATTGAAGAGAACGTACTAACATTATTATTAATAACATATCTACAAACAAAAAGAAATTGGTTTACAACCCAACTAACTTCATAAGTAACTGCAAAATAAAACTTTGTATATTCCGTCCACATATACCCCACTTCTCTCTCTCTCTCTCTCTCTATAATATATATATATAATATATATATATATATATAAATATATATATATATATATAATATATATATATATGTAGGAAATATATTCTTATATGTATTAAGTATTTAGCATAGTTTTATTTGTTAGTTACGCCACTGCGAGATACCACAAAACCATATTCTTAAGGCGCCACAGACAGGTCGCCACCGCGGGAGAGAGGCAGGAAAAATATAGACAAAATCACACATGCCTGCCCTATAAAAGGGATTCGATTTTTAGCACCCGAACTGTAAAGGTTGAATATTGTGCAACGCCCGCCGGCAGAAAAAGACGTAAACATTTAACGACGGAGTTATTCGATATTTTAATTTGTAAACCATTATCCGTAATCTAGTAATATTGTGTACCTGTAAATACCATCCGTACAGTTTATTGTTGTGTAATAAAGACGTATCGTTTGGATCGCGGACTTTTATTCTAACGTTAGTTCCCTTTGAAATAATAAAAGAACTTTTAAGTAAAAACCTATATAATATATATATATATAATATATATATATAATATATATATATATATACGTAAATTTTACAAAGATAGTACCAATATTACCTTTAATAGCACATACCCATGCCAAGGCGGCGCCTGTGTTCCCAGAACTAACTTCAATAATGGTAGCGCCAGGTTTTAAAGTGCCACTTTTTTCTGCATCTTCAATGCATCTAAGCACCATTCGATCCTTCGATGATCCAATTGGGTTTAAAAATTCACATTTGCCATCTGGAAATTACAACAATTTTCGTTACTAAAATAATAAATTATTTGGATCAGTAAGAAGGGGTCAATAACCAAAAAAACTAAAATTTATTAAACAAACTCTATCGACCAAATTGAAGGAGAGGATGGATAGCCGGTACTGTAGACTGGTGCGAATTTTCACACAATTTTTTCCGAATTTTAAAATTTAAATAATATTTTTAAAATTGAATAAAGTTTAAGAGTTATTGAGTTAATTCCATTATCGTAATCTTTTCCTGCTTCTTTTTTTTAAGTCGTTCATTAATTCCTGTTTTTCTCAATATAGTGATTGAGTGTTTTTCTACATGTTTATTATAATACAATGCGATATTATAAAACTGATCGGAGATAAATTTATTGGAAAGTTTTGGTAAGCTACTTATGATAATGCTATTATGTATATAATTCAAATCGTTGTAATAATCATCTAATAAATATTGGGATTTACACCTCATTCTGTAGGTACGCTTCAAATATTAAACGTATCTATACTGTTGGGAAATTACAATTCATGAAATGTTAAGTGTTAAATAAATTTGTTTTAATCGTTGTGGATTGCTTGATCCAATGAATCACAAGGCAAAACAATATTATCTGTTGCTATCAGCAACATTATACACAACAAACAACAAATTGTATTCCTCTGGTCAGTACGACGGGCCACTAATGACACAGCTGCTGACCTGTGTCATGTCGTCCGTTGATCCGGTACTTATTTGGCTAAGCCTTATTCGTACCTGTCCTGCATAGCGACAGGAACTTCCCTATCAGCCATTGGGAAGCGCCGTGTTGAAGCTAAGGACTCCCCCGCCCAGACTGTATTGCGCAGAGTACTGAAGTTCAGAATCCCTTCTTTACACAAGCTGAGACGGCACGTGAATGGATACCATGTGGTTTTTGAGTCACTTGGTAGTTCAAAATGTGTTTCCCGATTGAGATCTCAGCTAGACACAGCTATTACAGCTATTTTTGTTTTTTTGGTTATATCAGCTGATTCCAAATAAGCATTGAGTCGAATAATACTTTAACATAATTCACTTAACTCACCAGATTTGGATTTGTATTATTCAAGTTTAGGGAACCTAATCCTTCAAAGTTCCTAGTTCTTAGTTTTTAGAAATCCTACATCTTATGGTAGGTCCTCCACTTGAAGTCCATTCTGTAACTATAGTCAGAGCCTGATGCGTTCTATCTATTACTGTCTCATTAAATTTGTAGTAATACGCATACTTTAGGGCATGATTTCTGCCGTTGCTAAATATATCAACCCATCTACGACCAGATTCCCCAAGAGAGGAGATAACACTTCCTCCTGAAAACCTATGGCTAACTAGGCTGAGTCCTCAGCATGTAGTTTATCCACCTGAAGCTTGTTTTGTTTATTGTTTTCAGCTGAATCGCCCTTGTGATTGCTTCGAGATGTGTTGTCTAACGCTTCCTCTATATCAAGAAATGCACCTAACATAACCTCATATTACACGAACTAGACCACCAGAAAGACCCTTTAAAAAATGGCGAAGTAGATAGATAATATAGATAATTTAAAAAAGAAGAAAAATCTAAAAATCCCTTTTAATACCGTTTTTTGTCAAACAATGTATTAGATAATTTATTTATACTCACAAATCTCGCATTCGACGTTTTCGGTTTTTGGAATCCTGTTTAATTTTACCATTGGAGTATTTCCTACAGCATTTACTATACTCGGTAGTAATTTACCTGGATACGGTTTCCTAAAACGGATCAAAGTGGTAAGTTTTTTTCTATTATAGTATATTATAAATAGAATTTTAGAGCAAAATTGATAATATTGTAAACATATATTATCACATACGCGGCAAAAACACGACCTGGCACAGAGAAGACAAAAAGAATGTTAGAAACAGCAGAGATGAAAACACTTAGAAACATTGATGGTAAGACACTATGGGACAGAGCTAGAAGTAAAGATATACGACGTATATACAAGGTAGA